CCCTTGTCCGAGAAGGCTAGGTGTAGATCTTTCCTACCACAAGATCAGGGGTGTGGCTGAAAGACAGCAGTAAAAAGAAGCCAAGGAGTAGCAGTAGAAAGGCTGTAGAAAGAATCAGGAGCCCAGAGGAGGGGGGCAAAAGAGATGAGGGAGTGGGGGCAGAAAGAGGAGACAAAAGCAGACGACAGAACATTGCTAGAGAGCAGGACAGGAGGTAAAAGGAGACAAATTTAGAGGAGACAATTTTTCGGTCACTACCCCGATTCGAACCCGGGAACTTTGAATGAGAGGCCAACACCTTAACCTCTAGGCCACGAGAGCCCCCTTATTAAATTACTCACTTTTTGAAATACATGTACGCGGCGATGAGAAAACCGTATCCGTGACGTCGGTAGTCTAGTGGTTAGGCTACCGGACTCGTAATCGTGAGGCTGCAGGTTCAGAGGTTCGAGCCTCAGCTTCATCCGACGTCTTGTCCTTGGGAAAGGCATTTTACACGAAATTCCCATTTGGCTCAGTCCTTTCGGAGATGGACGTTAAACTTGGAGGCCCCGGCCTCTCTTTATTAACTCCGCCTCTTAAATAACCTAATAGTGTTGATAGAGGAGTTATACCCATACGATTTCACCATTTTTAAACCGTAGCCCCTTTATAGGTGGCGAAAGTGGGCGCTGGCTATACAAAGGTCGATACGCAATGCACTGAGAGACTACCGAGCAAACGCGACAAGCGAAAACAATTTGTTAAAGCATTTAAAAAAACCCAACTTACTATAACACTTCTATTGATCCACACGGGAAAAATTGGGTTCACAATGGTGTAACAATAGTATAGCAATTGCACATAAATGCGGTGCATAAATATATACATACATAATTATTTAATTTTATGGTAGTCAGACTTCTTTCCTGTCTATGTCTGAGCATATGAAATATATCATTTGCTATCAATTTTGCTAAATACTAACTTTAAAAAAAAGTATTTTATTGTGAGAGTTAAATTAAAACCTTTCCCTATTCGAGAATCGAGCTCCGGTCTTTTGTATGTGACAGAGAGTGTGTGACAACTAAACGCCTAACCGTTACAAAAAACAACAACAACAGAAGCAGTAAAAAAAAAGGAATCTCGGACAGATTCAAGTACTGATGTAGAACTTTTGGAACACACAGCCCTAAATTTCACTGCACATCAATTGCATTGATCTAATCGTTTGTTTTACAGCTTAGTTATTTGCTGACGTTGTTGAACTAGAACGACCCCACCCACACCTTTTCACATCAGAGTTATGCGCCACTAATCCTTTTTTGTATTTTGTGTCACGACACGGTGGAATAAGGCGCTCGTCAGTTTTCGGGGATGTGAAGTTATTGGCATCATCTTAAAAAACACTTTGCCACCTTATCTAGCAGATTGACGATGTTTACCACTCAATTTCTTTGGATTTTCCCCAAAATATGATAGCAAAGCTTTGCTCATTTGTCTTGCCTTCGATGAAAAAATTACCGATTTATC